ACCCAAGTCTTTTTAGTAACAGGAAGACCATTAATCTTTAGATTAATATAGATTTATTGTAACAAAGTTTCTACTATGACATTATATTAATAAAAAAAAAAATAAAATAAAATAAATAAATAAATATTCGAATACAAAATTTTGAACTAGATAAGACCTCTATACTAGAGCGATCGCAGGAAAAAACTTGAGTACTATGCAAGCCATCACTATAATTGTTGCCCTTTAAGGAAATCACTTTAAATCTACTTGTTTTTGTATTCTAATTAGTAACACATTTAAATACCTTAAGAGAGTTATAATTCAGGCCATGCTAAAAAAGCAAGTTACTTAATTTCAATAGAGATATAGGCTTTAATAGAGATTTAGGCTCTAATAGAGATTCAGGCTCTAGTGGAGATTCAGGCTCTAGTGGAAATTTAGACTTTAATAGGGATTCAAGCTCTAATGGGGATTCAGGTAATGAGAATTTAGATTTTAATAATGGGGTTTCGAGTTCAAATAAGGTCTTGAGGTCTAATATGGATTTAGGTTCTTGTTCTTAAAATATTAAAGAAGAGTATTAGCCTTACTGCAAGGTTGTGAATAGACATAGTTTAATAAAAATAGTATTGTCTAATCACCTAATGGTTTAATTGCCTAATAGCCTAATTGTCTAATGTCTATTTGATTTGGTTGAGAATAGACATGTCTATTTAAATAAAAATTTTATTCAACAATATGTCTATTAGTCTATTGGTCCAATTGATTTATAATTCCAGATTATATAAAAAAAATATTATAATCAACACTAATAAATTCTTAATACTAAAAACTTTACTGCTAAGAATAGCTCTTGCATTAGGTTTAGAATTGTTTAACAATCTAAGTCAAATATCGATATAGCATAATTAGTAATTAATTAAAATAAAGTATATAATATAGTTTACAAGAAGTATAAAAAAGTTTAAGAGAAATAGCTTAAATGATATAATTAGATTTAATATAAAAGGAAATTGGAAGGTCTGTTTGTTTCAAATATAGTAACATCACATTATATTGTAGAAGCTAAAAAATAAGAAATATTAAGAAAAGAAAAAGAGATGAAATTTATTAAAAATAAAGCAAATAAAATATTAAAAAAAGTTGTAACAGTGAATAATATTGAATTATCAACTGATAATGAAGTGTTAGTAGATAAAAATTTGGTAAAATTTTGATTTTTTTTTTTTATTACATGCTATGATAAAGAGTTTATAGAAGTTTTTTTTTTAAAAAAAATTTTTAAATAAATTTATTTTGTTATTTTATATATTTCTTACTCATATAATTAATAAAAGAGCTTATTTAGAATGTTTGTATTATTTAAATAAAATTAAATAATATGCAAGTATTATGATATAATATATATTCAAGCAAAATCTTAATTTTGAATATGTTACCATTGTAGTATTATTCAGGATACAATTACAAAAAATAAATCATTATTACTATATAATTTGCTTATTGTCTAATGATTCAATTAGACACCCATTGGACCAATAGACTGTCTATTGTATTTATTGACTTGTCTATTGTCTATTCACAACCCTGCTTACTGTATAAGATAACTGAATATGTATATATTTATGAAATCATAATGATTAATCCAAGATTCCAAAGTTGTAACAATTTTATTATCAAAAGATGTACTATACAGAAACTTGAATCTCTTAATGCATAGTAACTATACAGTAACTATGTAGTTATAATTAAATCTAATAGTAATTATGCAATTACTATATTGTTACTATGTAGTTACTATGTATTAAGATAGTTAAGTTTCTGTAAAGTAGTATTAAACAATTAAAACCTTATCATAAATAAGTGACATTACTTTTAGTTCCATACTAGCCAATATAAAACACAATTTTTTTTAAGTTCAAAGGACTTTGGATTGAAAGATTTTGTAGCTTAAATTGGGTTGTTTCAAATTAAAAGGGTTGGTCTTTTTATTTGCATGAAAGTTGTTTAAAATTTTTCTACAATTACACTTTACAAAACATATGGGATCTTTGCTAGAAAAATGACCCTACGAGCTATTGTTATACAAGATTTTTATTAAGAAAAACATAATAAATCTATTTTTAAAAAAAAAAAATCCTAGCAAAGATCCTATATAGTTTTTGTAAAGTATATAGGTACAAAAGTTCATTGGATTTTTTTTTTTTTTTCTTAACTACCTACATGTTATAGCAAAAAATTTAATATTTAGTTTATTTAACTTATTAAATATCATCTATCTAGGTTCAGTTTAAAGAGAGGCAAATGTGATTTCTTTTACTAGTAGGTGCTGGTATTTAAATTACTGAAATGATTATATTGCGTTAATACAAAGAAAATTCTAAAATTCTTGTTTTTTTTTGTATATAACATATATATACATATCAACATGATGCCAAGTATGTATATATATACATATACACAACATTCGATTTGTTAGAGGCAATTAATTTTTTAAGCCTGAGATATTGCTCAATATCAGGTTATTGATTGAAGCTTTGTTATATGATTTTTCTTTAATTTGATTGATTAATAGGTCAGAGATATATAACTTATATATCTCTGGCTAAAGATGCCTAGAAAAACCTTTTAATCAATTGTTTGAATATAGTTTTTCTATTCTGTATTATGCTTTTGAGATAACCATAGTGCTATTATAAATACTCTATATATATTTTTGACAAATAGTTTTTTATATTGTGTTTTTTCACTAAATAGTAAAGTATAGATTGTGTATATTAGTATAGCTAAATAAAATAGATAATTTTTGGTATATTTTGGTCAAAGTATTTATTATGTTGTTAAATTGGTTATTTAAATATATCTAAACTTTATACAATATAAACTAAATATTAAAGACCTTATCAGTGTTGTATATTTTTATTGTCTAATAATTTTTAAGTGAATTTTCTTAATAATTATTTGTCCAAATTCAATAAATTTTTTTTATTTTAATTCTACAAATATATAGAATTAAAATAAAAAAATTTTATTGAATTTGATTAAATAGTTATTAAAAAAACTTCACTCAAAAAAATTTTTAAACAATGAAAATATACAATACTAGACCTTATAGTATTAAGAAGTATATACCAAATTGGCTAGTAATTAAATTTGGAAAATTTGGAAAAGGTGTTTAAAAGTTTATAATACTTGAATATAATAGATTAGAAGTCTGTAAATATATCAACTTTGATATTGTAAAGCAGTATAGCAATAGCTAATAGAATTGTAATTAGCTTAGCTTTGTATAATAAAGGCTAGTTAAAGATTTTAGTAGAAAAGCTATTGCAAATTTGGTTGTGGTTTGTTTGAATCTAGCCTACTTCTATAGAGTAGTTGCTAGTACTTATATTTAATACTAAATTATCTATATAGAATATAAATATTTGTATATAAGACATAGTTTTATCTTTAATATTAAATATATATATATATATATTTGTATATAAATATTGTTAAGAAAATATTGTATTAATATCTAGCATGCTACATTATTATAAAAAAGGATTGGGGCTGAGAAGTTTGTAATATTTATATTAAATGAAGATAAAATAGTAATAGAAAGTTTGATTGCTATAGAGTATAAGAAATTTATATAGTTAGTATTAAGTTTAAGTTTTTTGTTGGCTGTTCTTTTGCCAAGAAACTATGTAGATAGTGTGGCAAAAACTTTAAGTATATAATAGTTGACAAGGTGGTTGGAATTAAAATTGTAGCCAAAGTATAAGCTATATATAATAGAAAGTAGAGTGTATAGTAAATAGTACCTTGTATTTATATTGTATTTTTAATATATAATAGAAACTGTGTTAGTTTGTTTAAAGTTTCTTTTTATTTAATCTATAATAATTTTGTCTTGTTAATAAATAAGTATCTATAGTTTTAATCTTTTTTTTTTTTTTTATTTTTTATTCTTTAACAGTCTCGCCGGTGCTATAATACAAATATTTATATGGTGAAATTTGTCTTAAAAAAAAATAAAACATATTTCTAGTAAATGTCTTTTGCAATTACAAGCCCAACATCACCTGGCTACAGATACTGCGCCCAGATGTGACTTGTCGCACTAACTTACATACGTGTCAGGAAACCTTGTCAACCCATCAAGAACAAATCCCTTCAATCTTTCTTTCTTTACCAAGAGCACAAGAAAGTAAAATTCTGTATCACCAATACAGAACTAAAATTAAGAAACAAAACAAAAACTAAAACTAAAAAAAAAAAAAAACACATAAATGAAATAGAAATCAAAAAGGAAAATAAATGGGGGACAGGGAAATATAAAAAAAGAAAAACAAAGAGAAAAGCCTCTATGGGCTGACCAATTTACCTCTATCAAGAAGCGATTGTGATCAATAATAAAAATTATATAACTACTGCAACTATAGTATATCTTGATTGTAAAGTTTTACTTTATCTAGAATCTTCTTTCTAATATATAACCAAAGCCAGATGTAAAATAAATGGAAGGTTCCGGTTCTCTGTAGGTAGCACCGTATTTATCATTATGATCACCCCAAAACACGTGGTTGCAATCCACCTGATTGTTCAGATTTGGAAGGAGTAAACAATACTGATCTTCTAATAGGGGTAAGCTGTTTTGCCCACTTTTTTTAAAAATTTTGTTGAAAGTACAAGTGGGTAATAGCAAAGATGACAGGCCAGGGTAAGCATCAAAACAAGGAGTGTAAGAGTTTACATTATATAGAATAGTATATTTATTCAAGCTTTTATTCTTGTGCTTGCTCCAATATAATTTGACAAAAACTTCCTTGGTTGTCACCAAAGCTACTTGTTTGATAGCTCTATAGACTTCTACCAGAGAGCCAAACCCACAAGAAGCTGTCTTTTTCAACTTTATTTCATAGCGCTTACATGCAATCTGAAACTCTTGAACCCAGATGCTATTTGGCAAAGTTTTGTTATAAAAAAACATACTAACTACACAATATTCATAGGTTAGTATTAGTAGAATTTTTGGTGTGAGAGATCGTCAAAAAGAGTTGCTATATGCTTTTATTTTAATCTTTTTGGAATAGTATTAAACTAATATACAAAGAGATTAATATCTGATAGTTGGTATTGTATATATATTGCTTAGTGTTGTAGTTGTTAAATATGATATCTTTTAAAAATAGGTTTTTTCTTTTTAAAAAAATATAAAAGTCTAGATAAAATATGTTACTATTCAAATAAATATTTATTGTATGCTAAGCTAAGCTATTTTAGATATAGAATATATTTGTTTTGGAGATATTGTTTAAATATAATATACTTGAAGCTCTTTGAAAATATAGATTCTAGTAATATATTGCTGTTTTGGATTAGTTAAGGCTATGCTTTGTTTAAGTTTATAGTTAGACTAATACAAGCTTGTTGTAATAATTATATTATTTTAAATATAGTAGTATATCTGTTAGATCTATTTATAATAGACTAAGAGTATTAAAAAATGCTAGTGATTGATTAAAAGTTGTTTTGAAGTTATTGAAGCCTAATATGAGTAGTAATGCCAAGTGTA